TGACCTTTTGGGTCACTACATTCTCCACCTCCAAAACAACCGTTCATCCTCGAACGGACATAGAAAAGTACCTGATCTGGGAAAAAGGTGGGGATATCTACTATGCATGTACGACTAAGACTGCTAAGCTGCCTCGACGGGCTGACCTCTCCACTGCGCACGAACTGAAGGATAACTCTTTGATCTCAACTAACGAACCTGCTGGTCTAGAATAGCTACCATCTCCTCCTCGTAGGTCAAATCTTTGTCCAGCTGAACAGTGCTGAAGTCTACACGTGGGATGGATCGTCGTGATACTTCTTAAGCATGGACACATGGAACACTAGATGTACCGCTGATAAACGAGGTGGAAACGCAAGTCTGTAAGCCACCTCTCCCACTCGCTAAAGAATCTCAAAAGGCCCGATGTACCTAGGGCTCAACTTGCCTTTCTTTCCAAACCTGATTACACCCTACATGGGTGACACACGAAGCAATACTCTCTCTCCGACCATGAATGCAACATCACGGACCTTACGGTCGACATAAATCTTCTGTCTGGACTGAGCTGTGCGAAGTCTATCCTCTATGATCTTAACCTTATCCAAGGTATCCTATACATAATATGTACCCAATAACCGAGCCTCCCCCGGATTAAGCCATCCAATCGGCGATCGACACCGTCTACCATATAATGCCTTGTAGGGAGCCATCTGAATACTCGACTGATGGCTGTTGTTGTAGGCGAACTCCGCTAGCGGCATGAATTGATCACATGAGCCTCCAAAGTCAATCAAACAAGCGTGGAGCATATCCTCTAATATCTGAATAGTACGCTCGAACTGCCCGCCCGTCTGAGGATGAAATGCTGTGCTCAGCTCAACCTGCATGCCCAACTCACGTTGCACTGCCCTCCAGAAATGCGAGCTAAACTGTGTACCTCGATCAGAAATGATAGATACGGATGCACCGTGAAGACGAACAATCTCGCAGTTATAAATCTCTATCAACCGCTCTAAAGAATAGGTAACTGCCACATGGATGAAATGCGCTGACTTGGTCAGTCTATCCCCAATAACAAAACTGCATCGAACTTACTCTGATTCCGTAAGAGTCCAACAACAAAATCCATAGTGATACGTTCCTACTTTCACTCAGGAATCTTTATATTCTAAAGCAAACCACCAGGTCTCTGATGCTCGTACTTTTCTTGCTGACAATTTAGACACCGAGCCACATATGCTACTATTATCTTTCTTCATTCTCCTCCACCAATAATGCTACCGCAAGTCCTGATACATCTTGGCGGCGCCCGAATAAATAGAACACCGGGAACTATGAGCCTCCTCTAGAATCAGCTTACGAATTCCATCCACATTTGGTACACAAACACGACCCTGCATCCTCAAAACTCCATCATCTCCAACCGTAACCTACTTGGCATCACCGTGCCGCACTATATCCCTAAGGATAAACAAATAAGGGTCATCATAATGCCGCTCCCTAATGCGCTCAAACAATGAAGAGCGAGCGACCGTACAAGCTAGAACACGATTGGTCTAAAAAAACATCCAACCTCACAAACTGATTGGCCAAGGCATGAACATATAATGCAAGAGGTCTCTCACCGACTGGATTGTACACAAGCCTGCCCATACTCAACAACTTCCTACTCAAAGCATCGGCCACCATATTGGCCTTCCCGGGATGATACAAGATGGTGATATCATAGTCTTTCAATCGCTCTAACCACCTCCTCTGCCTCAAATTGAGCTCCTTTTGCTTGAAGAAATACTGCAAACTCCAATGATCCATGAACACCTCACACGAGACGCCATAAAGATAGTGCCTCCAAATCTTCAGCGAGTGAATAATGACTACAAGCTCTAAGTCATGGACAGGATAATTCTTCTCGTGAACCTTGAGCTGCCGTGAAGTATATGCAATTACTTTGCCACCCACCATCAATAGCGCACCTAGTCCAATACGAGATGCGTCATAATATATTATATAAGGCCCTGAACTTGTGGGCAACACCAATATCGGCACCGTAGTCAAAGTAGTCTTGAGCTTCTGAAAGCTTCCCTCACACTCATCTTACCATCTGAAGGGGGAACCTTTCTAGATCAACCTCATCAATAGAAGTGCTATAGATGAGAACCCTTCCACATAAAGACAGTAATAACATGCCAATCCCAAGAAACTCTGGATCTTTGTAGCTGATGTGGGTCTAGGCCGGTTCTTGACTGCCTTAATCTTCTTAGGATCCACCTAAATATCCTATGTTGATACAACGTGCCCCAAGAAGGCGACTGAGCTCACCAAAACTCGTATTTTGAAAATATAGCATATAACTAGGTGTCTCTGAGAGTCTGAAGAACGATACTAGTGCTACTTATGCTCCTCTCGGTTGTGGGAGTAGATCAAGATATCATCAATAAACACAATCACATAGGAATCCAGAGAGGGCTTGAACACCCGGTTCATCAAATCCATGGATATATTTTAAAACTTTTATTTTCTTTCATTCTCAATTGTGTAAATAAATTTTTGAGTTTTTGTTATTAAGATGAAAATTATTGTTACGAACAAATTGTTCTAATTAAGTTTTTACTATGCTCAATATTTTATTATTCCAACATTATATATGCTTAAATATTATTTTATTTTTTAATTTAAAAATAAAGTTTATTTATTCTAAGGTAATTCCATAATATAAATTAAAAAGAGAAAAAATTATAATATTAAACTAAAAAAAAAAGAAGATAAAAGTTGATAATTTAGAGGGTAAAATAAGCATTTGGCGATCAAAAGTTTGAAAAATCTAGTTGAGTGACCTTTTGAGTTATCTATCAAAGATGACTTTGATAGATAATTTCGGATAGTTAAATGATCATTTGAGTAATGAACTCCGAATTCCTTAAATTTTGGCCTTATAATGCATCGCATACCACAGATTTCTTAGTACTTTGAATACATTATTAGAAGTTGATTCGCTTAACTGATTAATTAAAAATAGCTGAAAAGCAACAAGTGCTAAAAATTACTTCTTTCCGGTGAATCTAATTTTATTAATGAGTAATGTTTGGTTAGATAAAAGTATTACTTTAAAGAGTGGTTACATGAGGCGGGGCGTTTTACTCTTTAGATAATGTACATTGAATGACCAGGAAGGGTTACGTTGGGACAAAATAGGATTCTTCAACACTTAAATAAAGTTTTCCAATTCGAGCCTAAGAATGAAAAACAATTCTAGCGGGGTGTGCATCCTCTTTTAATAGCATTCTCTTTTAATAGTCTGTTTGGCCAAACTGTCAAAAATTTTTTTTTTTTAAAGTTAAAGTGTATAGCGTCTGTTTAAAAGAAGCCATACTTTAATGGCCGTTTGGCCAGTTAAGTATAGCTTCTTTTAAAAAGACGGTATATGTGAATTAAAAAGACGCGGGAAAGTATAGCGTCTTTTGTTAAGACGCTATACTGTAACGTCTTAACAAAAGACGCTATATATATAAATATAGTCGTCCCCTTCTCTTCCCCCAAAATAGGACGGTGTCCCCCCCCCCCCCCGTTTTTTTTAACCTTTAAAAAAACCGTAATCTGCCCCCCGCCCCCCTCCCATTTTTAAACACTAAAAGCTTGAGTGAATCCCACCCGTCCCGCATAAAGTAAAGATTCTCGGTCCCACGTGCTAGCTAAGGAGTTATCTCAGACGTTGTTGGTTGTTTCGACTCAAAATCATAAATTTTTTGACTTTCCTAAAACCTTAAATTGAGGTATTCCGATTGAGTTTTTGATAAAACTTGTAAAAAAAATGCATATTAGTTGTTTTTTATGTGCTCTATATTGTTTTGTGATTGTTTTGTGATTAAACTAATTTGTTATTTTTTATCCAGACTATAATATTAGTGTGCTAAAATAATTTGTAAAATAGAGAAATTGTTATTAGTTGTTAAAAAAAATATAAATTAGTTACCTTTTACTGTGGTATATGTAATTTCGTGATTGTCTTGTGATTAAATTGATTTGTTGTTTTTATCCGCTTTAGATTATTAATTTGCTAAAAGACTAGTAAACTTGATAATTTTTACTTTAGTACCCTGTAGTGGTATCTTGTGGCCTAATGTAGTTTTCGTATTTGTAATGTAGTGACCTTTTAGCGTAGTAAAACGTAGTGCCCTTCAGCGTAGTATTTTTGTAGTTATAGAAATGAATCATTTAAGCATCTCTTATTCCCAAAAATACGTTAAAAAACTGATATTCAAACACAAATTATCTCCGATTTTAGTCAACAAACGTAAGAACATAAGAATTCAGGATACATTGATGCTATTGGGCCTCAAATATTGTGTCCAGAACCAAAATATAATTATTTAATAATTAAATCTTATATAGTCATGAAAATTAATTATTTAACTTTAGTATAGTAAAAAATAAGTCAATAACAAACAAACAAACATATTAAATAATAAAACTAACATCTTAAATAATAAAACTAACATATACAATAATAAACAAAAATATACAATAATAAACAACATATTAAATAATAAAACTAACATATTAAATAATAAAACTAACATATACAATAATAAACTAACATATTAAATAATAAAACTAGCATATACAATAAACTAACATAAAATAACAGACATGTTGAGTCAAAAAACGGAAAAAATTTCTCGTCATGAACATAAGAATTCAGGATACATTGGTGCTACCGGGCCTCAAATATTGTGTCCGGAACCAAGATGTGAATATTTAATAATTAAATCATGTATATTAAAAAATAGGTGAATAACAAACAAACATATAAAATAATAAAACTAACACATAGAATAATAAAACTAACATATTAAAGTAACGTTTAAAAAATAAAAGTATAATATTGAAAATGTATCAACCTAATTAACAATATAGTAAAAATTATCGAATAAAATTTAATATTCAAGTTATTGCAATATATTTAAGCAGTGGAAAAGAAAAATAATGTAATTAATTTTGTTCAATTTACAGTAGTCGTCATGGAGGTTCCGCCTTTGCATCCCCGTGTAGTTAGACTCTTGCAGGATACGGGCTTTTATAGGATCGCTAAGATCGGCCGGCTGCAGCTGGATTGGTCGTTGCTCATGCCTTTGATAGAGCGGTGGCGACCAGAGACGCACATATTCCATTTGCCCATTGGCGAGGCCACTATCACGCTGCAGGAAGTGAAGGTCCTTTATGGGCTGCCGGTTGATGGATATGCTGTTGCTTTGCCGCGAGGCATGAGAGATTATACGGGAGCTCAGTACCTAGAGACTTTGCACAGGCTCACCGGTTTCCGGCCAGAGGATGAGGGTGTATTGGTTGGGGCTAGTCGTATTTCGTTGACGCCCATCCGGAAGTATTTGGAGGCCATCCATGATGACATTGAGCATGATACACCGGAGCTTTATATTAGGTGGTACACGTGGCCGCTATTGCTAGGCTTATTGTTCCGGACACTTTGGGAAACCTAGATAGCTTGAGATTACTTCATCATCTTAAGCTGCTAGATGATTTACCTCAGTACAGCTGGGGTGCTGCTGTCCTTGGTTACATATACCGGTAGATGTGCCGGGCATGCATGGGCACCCAGCGAGACGTTGCACAATTTATGCCGCTGCTGCAGGTGAAAACATAGACAAATACTCTCTTCATTATAACATACATCATAAAAATATACCTTAAATTTTACGTCCAACTTGTATATTAGGTCTGGGCCTGGGAGCGGCAGTTTCAGCCACCTCTACCACCCATAGCTCAGGATGCACCACCTCCAGTGTTTCTCCCTTTGGCTAGGAGGAGGGTTGAGAGGCGGGGATATGGACGCGAGCACGAGGCTCGACATAATCTCTGTATTGTAGAGATTTGTTAGATTTGCTGGAGGACGCGCAGGTAATTCTATACTTAAGTTTACTTGGCCTGGATTTATATGTGTTGTGTATACTCACGGTTCCTGTTTTCACGTGATAGTTCATTTGGACGCCCTACTGCGACGCGCTTATAGCTAGTTTACCCGATTATTGCTCAACCAGGCGACTTATGTGGAGCTCTTCCGTCCTGTTGGTATGTCTCGATATTGTCGAGCATCATTCCACCAAGCGAGTCCTTCGCCAGTTTGATCGACCGCAGCATGTACCTCCACCACCCGCTTGGGTTAGGACTCATTACCAGCGGGATGATCGTCCGAAGGTTGACCAGGCATATGAGGCATGGCTAGAGGCGCAGATCGAGAGTTAGGACCAGCGGCATGACCTGATTCCACAACCCCCTCCAGCCCATCTTATGGATGATGAGTATGCGATATCGGCTGGTACCGCAACATTACCCGACTTACCGTTTAATGAATAATTAGTTATAACGTTAACATTACCGCTTCGCAATTAATATTTTACATGTTGTGCAGGTTATTGGACTACATAAGTTCAACCAGTTGGGACTGTAAATGCAGTAACATGCCGGCGAGGGAGCGGCCGCTTTGCACGACTATGGCCGACAAGTTACAGATTTGGCTGCCCGGACATTGCCGTGAGCCCGAGATAGTGAGCGCTTAGCATACGAGGCTGATTATATGGTGCCAGAGCAGTACCATCGTGGGCCATCAGTGCGGCCTGAGCGTGGTCGACGTGGCAGGGGTGTGCCACGAGGCGGGGTTGTGCCACGAGATAGGGCTGTCCCACGAGGTAGGGGTGTCCCACGAGGTCGTGGTGGTCGGAGAGGAGGTAGGGGTCGAAGAGGAGGTGGTCCCCAGCAAGGGGGCGTTGAGGAACCTGCCGAGGATGTTGGAGGTGATCAGCCGGTGACCACCCTGATCGTAGCGATATCCCGTCATTTAGCCTGGGGCTCACTCCAGGGACTTCGTAGGTGACCCGGTCAGCTCCATTGTCGATCGCGGGCACAGCCTTTACCTCACAGGACTGGGATGCGTATTTTCCCAACATTCTAGAGGCATCGACGGTTGCTGATGCTCGTCCGGTACGAGATGTGGATAGTGGACGCCGACTTAGTTATGGCTCACCACCGAGGGCTGCTGAGGATCTTCCACAGGATTTAGTTAGTTTTTATTACTATTACTTAACTTTTGTGTTTATCTCATTGATTAGTCATAAATATCTAAAGCATATTTTTTTTGAAGCCATCATCCTCGCCCGTCGTAGAGGCCACTAGGTACGACACTCACATACTTGAGACAAATGAGTATATTCAGGAGCCTGTTGCGACCGTGGTAAGACATTTTAATTATTTTTATGCAATCAACCCTTACTTTACTATTATATATTTCATATACTAATATATGTCATTATTCTGTAGGTTACTGCTGTATCGACGACCCCTTCTACCGAGCCTGTAAACCTTACTGACGATCATGCTGCAGATCATCCTCCGATAAAGAGGCGTCGTGATGAGGATGATGCTGATAGTGTTTCCGGGCAGGGTGGGATGCGCCTGAAGCCAGCGGCTGCTTTAAAGTATAAAGGATGTGGGACACATTGATTTTTATTTTTATTTTATGTACATATGACAATCAGTAAATAATGAAAACTATTTTTATTGTTTACATTATATGTGCATTATATTCTTATTTGGTTCTTCGTTATTTTAATACTACAACACAAACACAAACATAGCAACTTAACATAATTTAAATTCAGTACAACAAATGAAAATACAAGATACGGAAAACATAAAGATAAAATACTACAATCAACGCATACATGTCATTGGTTAGTCACTACCGCCTAGTATTCTCTGCTCCAGCTACTTAAATTTCTCTTCCAGCTTATTTTTTTCTTCTTCCGCCTCTTTTAGTTTCTCCTACAATTCCGCAATTTCTTGTTTCATTTCAGATTCACGGCGTCGGTATTCACAGTTCATATTCCAAATATACTGCAAAGATTTTTTGTAGCATTCCTGCTCAATGGGTTCATCATACCATTCCTCAAATCGCAATAATTCCACCATTGCCTCCAAACCTGTTTACACACATCTAGTATCTGCGCCAAACATGACCGTCGGACCAACATGAGTTCATCATACAACGTTTGCCACATTGTTGGTCATTCCATCCAGACATTTGTTAATGAAAAAAAAACCATGCTTTTATGCAAAGTGTTGCTATTTGTTTTGGTTAAGCGCAAATAATAACAAAAATGTGCTTGTTATTTATAGGCAAGGCAACACACATAACGTGGTATGTAACCGCACTATGCTTTGCGTGCTAATGATTCTTTATGGTACAATACAAATTTTCCAGGCGAGCAGCTTTTGCAGAACGACAGCTTTATCAGGTTGACAAGACAATACACATAACGTGGTATGTAACCGCGCTATGCTTCGCGTGCTAATGATTCTTTACGGTAAAATACAGCTTTCCAGAAGACAGCTTTTCCAGAATGACAACTTTATTAGCTCGATAAGACAATACACATAACGTGGTATGTAACCGCGCTATGCTTCGCGTGCTAATGATTCTTTACGGTACAATATAGCTTTTCCAGAAGACAGCTTTTGCAGAACGACAGCTTTATTAGGTCGACAAGATAATAAACATAACGTGGTATGTAATCGCGCTATGCTTCGCGTGCTAATCATTATTTCGGGTAAGAAAGCTTCTTAAACTGAACCAAGTCATATGTATCTCAAAGACCTTTTGAATAAACATTACAACTTCCATTAAAAAAATGCCACTAACATTTAACAAGTTGTTCAAAAAGAGGCAAAAGGGTGAAGGTAGTTATCACGACCCCAGTTCGCCCTCCGTGAACATGTCGTGACGGCACCTAGTCCCTGCGACTAGGTAAGCCTAACAATGCGGAAGATAAACTATAATTGCAGAAGAAAGTAAATAAAACTGAACTAGAAAAAAAATCGGTGTTTAAGGTGCCGCTCGGCACATACCACAACAATTCTCGAAGCTAACGACATTCCCAAAACCCGGAAACTCACAAATCACAAGCTAAGAGGATACATATGAGGCTCTGACTCAGGAATATCTATACAAATGAGAAATACTGGAAAAGCTATACTTATTACAGAAAGCTGGAAAGGGACTCCTCGGTCTGCGGACGTAGCAGATATACCTTGAAGTCTCTACCGGTTCGCCTCCTTCCAAGGCTGACAGAACCGAGCGGAAGTACCTGTATCTGCACAACAAAAATGTGCAGAAGAGTAGCATGAGCAAACCACGGCGGTGCCTAGTAAGTATCAAGACTAACCTCGATAGAGTAGTAACGAGGAACAGTCAAGACACTTATCGGTCAAATAAACAGTATAATTATAGGAATAATAGAAACGATTTATAAATATGTAAGGACTGCATGAATATCCAAGAATGCTACTATTCACAATAAGGGAAATGGATAACAAGTAACGACGAGAATATAATAAATGATGATACGAAATGACGGCAGAATCACAATCCAAATCCTAAGGTCACAACACAGCAAGGGGAAAAACAAGTCAATAACTCATATCCCACAATGATGTTCACATAAGGTCTTAATCAACCCTTTCAACAATTTTACCAAGTTTCGGACAAACCACAACTCACGAGAACCCAGCATCTGAAATCAAACACCCGGCATCCTGTGCCCCATCAATCTCACGGTCGTGCTGACAACTCACTGGCTAACTAGGGCCACTTTCACGTATAAAATGGATAAAAGAGGGCGTACCTCCACCCTTAGCAAAAACAGGAGGAATTCACCTCTAATAGGAGTGTTCAGCTACGTGTATGCATGTGCAAGTGTCTTAACAAGAATTCTACCAACTAGTAAACATGAAGAGGAGAACGGACCGCACGTACGATGTTTCCTCACAACTTCCAAGCGATAAAGCTCATACAGGTAAGCAACCCACAATCACAATATTAAACAAAAAGGAATGCCTCCACAGGGCGTCACAATTCTTTACAATCAACCCCTGACATAGCCCACCTTATTTCGCCACGCGTGCAAATAATAATATAATAGGCACCGCCTTATTTCGCCACACGTGCATCACAATGTTCCCACCTTATTCCGCCACATGCGCAACCCACATATAAGCATATAACATATCCCGCCTTATTACGCCGCATGTGCAAAACATCAATAACAACAATAGCACGACAAAGACCTCGTGCAACCCTTCAACAACAACCGCACGGCAGAAACCTCGTGCATCACAATATCAACAACCGCACGGCAGAAACCTCGTGCATCACAATATCAACAACCGCACGGCAGAAACCTCGTGCATCACATTATCAATACAACACAACAAATGACAATATATACAGGAACAAAGCAAGAGAATCAACTCAAGAAATTCCGTTCACCAAAAGACGGTGCAACTAACTCACAAGGAATATCCGTAACAGGGAAATGCTAAGCGCAATAAGAACAACTCAACAAGGAAGAAATAATATAAAACAACGATTTCATAATACTAAGTTCAACAACAAGGAAGTTAACATAAATTAAATTAATTACAATTTAAGGAATATCAATTAAACATAGGATATCTAACTTCTTTCCAATTAGGACCAATTAGTTACACGAGAGATAGAAAGTAATGCTTCCAAATAAAGACAAGCAGTTAGGAGTGATAATGTGACTATAGAAGGGTAATGTCTACAGTGAAACAAGTGAAAGTCAATTAGGCAACAAGCTTAAGCCAAAAAGGGCAAATAAATTCCAAGTAAGAAATGTAAAGGTGAAGCTAATAACAGGGAACTCAATCACATCAAGAACAACTTCATATTCGGTGATTACAAGGATCTAGGAGCCTAAAAAGGATAATTTTCCACAAATAAATCCGAGCACGCACTCGCCACCTCGCGTACAAGGAATACAATCAACAAAGAAGACTCAAATCCTAAGGGGAAGTCCCCCACACAAGGTTAGGCAAGATACTTACCTCGAACCGGCTAAAATCAACTAGCAACCACGTTCTTGCCACGAGTATTCGACTCCAAATGGCCCAAATCTATTCAATTAAATCACACATTGTAAATAACATCTCAAGCAACTGATTCTACCATTTAATTCAAAGCTAAAGCGTGAAATTAGGCAAAATGACCAAAATGCCCCTCAGGCCAACGTCTCAGAGTTGGATAATTTTTACATTTTCAGAACCCTCGTACTCTCACGAGTCTAACCATATAAAAATATCCCAAATTGGAGGTCAAACACCCCCTCAAAACTCAATAATTCGGTCTATGAAGTTCTACCCATTTTTCATTAAAAATCTGAAATTAAAGGATGAAATTAAGAGGAGATTCATGGAAATTGGTCTAAATCGAGAGAGAAGCACATACACAAGTCGCCAGGTGAAAATCCCTTCAAAAATCGCCAAGAACCGAGCTCTAGAAGTCAAAATGTGATAAGAATGGTGAACCCTCGAATTTGGGATTAAATCTGTCTGCCCAGACATTTAATGCATCGTGAACGCGTAGGGAGCCTCGCGTTCGCGAAGAAGAAAAATAAATGCTGCAAAAAAATCCCTTCGCGAACGCGTGGAAGTGACCGCGAACGCGAAGTCCTGGAACCACGAAGCTACGCGAACGCGACAG